GTATTGTAACATTTTGCCCTATTCTATCTCGTCCCTTTTGTGTGTTGATGCACATGTATTTGGTTTTCTCTTCGTTTACCCTTAAACCAGTTGTCTTTCTTCTACCTCCAATTTAATAAATGTCTCCTTCACATTGGTGACTATGTTTCCCACAATGTCAATGTCATCTGCGTATGCTAGTAGTAATTTTGGTCCATTTACTGTCAGTAATTCTGTTTTAAGTTGTGCTGCTCTTACTACTTTCTTCAGGATAATATTAAAAAGGAGAAGTGGCAGCGCATCTCTTTGTTTTAGACCACTGCTTATTTCGAAAGATTCTGTGAGTTTGTGACCTATCCGCACTTTGGATCTATATCTATTTACACAGAAGTTATCAAGCTGGATAAGTTTTTTTGGAATTGAAAGTTCTGCCATTGCATTTTACATCTGATCCCTTTTAATGCTGTCGTACGCTTGCCGAAAATTTATGAATAGATTATGGATAGTTCTAGTGAATTTCCATCCTTTTTCAAGCAGCTGTCTTAGAGTAAAGATTTGATGTATGGTCAATCTATGTTTTCTGAAGCCGGCTTGCTATTCCCCATAAAATTATCTACAAACGGTGTCAGCCTACTTATTAGGATGTTCGATAAGATTTTATATTCCATATTAAGTAGGAAGATGCCTCTATAATTTGAGCACTTGGTTTTGTCTCCCTTTTTATGGATGGGTATGATTATAGTTTCATTCCATTTTGTTGGTATTTTGTCTTTGTTCCATGTAAGTGTTCGATATAAGTAAAGAGCCTGGAGCTTTTCCGTTTTTCAATTTGTTTATTGCTTGCAATGTTTCATCTATTTTGGGGCCCTCTACCGGTAGGTCCACACCAAAATATATATTTTCTCCATGTTCTTCCTCTTGATGTATGTTTAGTCTTGAAATATTCTTGCCATGTTTGGAGCAATTGTTTTTTATTTATTATTAATTCATCATTTCTTCTGAGTACAGACACGCATCTAGGCCTTTGCAACTTTGCGAAGAGAAACAAGAAAACTAATTAGATAAAAAAAAAGGAAGTACGAACAATAAAAATATGAAGAAATGGAAAGGAATAGGCAATAGTCAAATAGTCGAGCATTTTACAAATCAGTGTCAAACGAAAAGAAAGGCTTCAGGCTTCAAATTTTTAAAATTAGTGTATTTAAATATAATAGAAAAATATTTTATATGGAAGCAACCTTTGAATTAAAAACCTTTAAAAAGTAATTGTATTAAAAAAAAGAACTAAAACTTCGTTTCCATAATTAAAGTGAACTTAAATCTAGTTACAGTTTTCCGCTGTATCATATAAGCACATGTAAGAACACATAGAACGGTGATTCTGACTGTACTGGTTATAACCTCAAACTTCATTATTTTGTTGGCGACTCAGTTCCTATGCAGGACAGATGGCGGCCATACTGCCGAACTAGATTGTGTAAAAAGTATTAGCCATGCTTTTATTTTATTGTATTACTGTAATTTCACCTATACTTAGCACCTTCTCTGCACATTCTCAATGGTAATTACGCATATACTCAACATACATATTGAACGAAATAAATTCGGAACATACGAAATATTATGTATTTCGGCTCAATTCTGCTGTAGGTGGTTGGCCAACAAAAAATTGTCAAATAATTATATTATAAAAATCCAATATTTCAGCGGGCTGCTGGATTTTGAACTAATTCAAGAACTCATTCATAGGTGGTCTAACCACCTATCGCTTCCTAAAGCTGGTCACTCACGGTACAGCGGTTTCGTTCGACATAATCGGACAGATGCTTTGTTCAATTTGTTATGAGTATTGGTGTTATACTTGGTTCGCTAATGCCAGTCCGAACTGTCTAGTGATTTTAGTAATTATGTTTTTACGAAGTTAGCATAGTTACTTTTTGACAGACTAGATGTGGCTGGAAATCATTATACAACCAAGTACACGTGCTCATAGCGCATTTCATTAGAGTATTTCGTCGACCTCTTTTGCAAACTTATACTATGAATTAGAAATTTATAGCATGTATATACAATGTAAGTTTCTATTATATATAAAAAATATGTTTTATAAAAAAAGTTACGGTAATTTAGTTTATATCGTTAGGTTGCGCCAAATGTAGGCAACCAACTTAAACTTGTTGTTAGCATTTAGCTGGAGTTTCTTGAGAATATATTTAATATTTTCCAGGTAATTTATTATTATTTTTTAAAGTGATGATAATAATGCTGAATAAGCAATATTTCAAATGATATCTAATCACAGGACGTACTTAATATTGTGTTATAAAGTAGGTTAGATAAAAAATATCATAATATTCATATTATAATTCAAAAATATCATTCATCAAAAATATAATTAAAACAAATCATAATCTTCTATTATTCCTATTAGAAACTAGTTTTGGACGGCCCGGGATTTTACTTTTTTATCTAACGTACAGTTGCGGTCACGGAATAGTTTACACCTTACTTTTTATATAGTAATACTGTAAAATTGCAGTGTCGTACGGATTGATAAATGTCAAAGTCAAAAAATTTATATATTTTTATAACAGAAGACTGCAAAATTATATTGACAAGAATGGGGCTTCCACCAAATATTAATTATTATTTATCATTGTTTATCGTTATTTAATATAAAATAGATTTTAAAATAAAATGCATATTAAAAAAGACTTCTTTATTTTCGTTATTAAGATCATAATCCATTTTATTCAAAAAACTGTTTTCTATATTTTTCATTTTGTCAAATATTTTGATATTTTAATTTTAATCTACCTATTCTAGCTAGTACACCACTGGCAACGTCACTTTGACGTAAAAGGTGCGTTTAAACGAAGTAAAAATTTAAAAAATGGGCTCCTAGATACGTAAACCTGTAAACTATTCCGTGACCGCAACTGTACTTTATTATGAGGATTTTACAATAACACAATATTAAGTACGTTTTGTGATTAAATATCATTTGAAATATTGTTATTCAGCATTATTATAATCACTTTTAAAAAAATAATAAATTAACTGGAAAATAATAAACGTTTATTAAAAATATTCTCAAGAAACTCCAGCTAAATCATAACAAAAAGTTTAAGTTGGTTGCCTACATTTGGAGCCACTTAACAATATAAACTAAATTACTGTAACTTTTATCACAGCTTTTATTTAATTTTTGACGTCATGTCAAACTGAACTGGATGTTAACTGAAATGTTTTTGTTATTAAGAACATATTTACATAATTTTATAAATATATTTTAATGATCCACCTACGCCGAATGGGCAAATAAATTAAACAAAAATGGTTGGTGTTTTGAATAAATCTTTGTGCAGTTTGATTACCTCGTAATTTAACAGCATCCTTACTCATCTAAAAAATAATAACTTTTTAAAGAACATTTATCATATTTATATTTATTCAAGAAAAACTTACCAACGCATTATCTGATAGAACAAATGGAAAACTTTGACTATCTCTAATAATAAAATTCAAAATAGAACTAACTAATTAACTAAATAGAACTAACAAAGAATTAAACAAAAATAATGGAACAATAAAACTATATTAGCTAAAATAAACAACGCGAATAATACAAATATTTACTACAATATGTTCAATTGTAACAACTCAAATATTATATTTTAAATATAAAGGGAAAATGTTATGGGTTTAGTATACACTTCCACTATTTGGAATAATTCTTCTTTTTTTAAAGGAAGAAGTCTGCAATAGTAGTATATTTGAGCTATTAATACTGAGAAGTAGGAATTTTTGTGTTGTAGGTTTCCGACAATGAATCTGTCAAAATATGCCCGAGCTAAGCGAATGGACAATATTTGTTATTTGGTATATCTGGTGCGCCCACACACCATACTGCGCCGCAGTATTTGTTTGGTTCTCGACCATGTCAAATCAAACAATAATTTTAGCATATCTTGCTTTGTGTATAACTAAGCGTAAAAAGAAACCTTAAATAAAACGTAGATTCTGGTGCAAAGAATCCAATATTTTGGTGCAAAATAAATCTCGTCTGCCCCTGCACCCGATTTACTGGACTGCACTAATAATTTTAATTCTCTTTTATAGGATGTTCTAAATTTGTTAATTTTTTTTCTTACATACTCTTCATACGCATCTTTGTTTACTTCTTGGAACTTTAAAACTAGAATGTCCATTGCCTGTTTTCGGGCATTTTTATCGTGATAAGTTTTACCTTTTATTCGCTATAAGCATTCTTGTTTTTTATATAATTTAAAAAACTCTCTTAAAAAATTCTCGCTAAATCAAGCCATTTCGATTTTCTATAATATGATCAAAGCAAGTGTGTAGTTAAAGTATCGTGAGTGACCGCCTTTAGGCAAGCCCCTCTTTCGTTTATCGGAGATAGAGATTTTGAACGGTGTTGACAAGATCATTCCACCAGATGTTTCTAAAATAACTACAAACTTCTGAAATAACTACAAACCATTAAGTTTATTTTTGTTATTAGTCTGTTGTAGTAGATTGGTAAATACAATGAAAAATATAGTCAAATATCCGATTTATTTAAAGATACGAAGAAGATATAACTGTCAAAAAGATCCGCAAATCGGATTATTACACGGCGATTGGCAACATTGACTTTGAGCTGCGCTCTAGACTATGGTGGGTTCTAAAAGGAGACGGATAGTTGAACGATATTTTATACAATGTCTAACACCGGGTATGGATTTATTTTTGTCCAAGTTTTATATTGGTCTACTATTTCAAATGTAGTTCAAACAGACATATATTAAATTGTATGATCCGTTGTAAATTCGTTCAATCTGTATATGTTCTCTAAAGAGTAATGTATGAATCTACTAAGAACAATAAATTGTTATGTAGGATGAATCTTGCTATTTCTCAAGTTAATAATTAAATTCCGTTGTTTGTTTTTAACTTAGGACAATTCCTTCGCTTTAGTTTAATATTAATTAGTATATACAATAACTTTTCTGTTTTAGCCTGTTGCATCAACAACTCAAATGACGACCATTCCTCACGCAGAACGGCTCCAACAATCTCCAGATCGGCCAAAAACCAGAGTAATATCAGTGAACCCAAGCACCCCCAACTTTAGATCTCCGACCAAAGCATACCCTTCAGTATTATGGGTGATAGGAGGACCAGGAAGCAACAAAGCAGCTTTGTGCACAAGCGTAGCAAACGAGACTGGTTGGCAGCATGTTAGTCTGGGTAAGATCTTAAGAACTTTGGCTGATCAACCTGATGCAAAGAAGAATAAGGAAGTTGCTAAGTTAAGGGAATGCATTAGTAACGGTGAGCTGGTGCCGCAAGAGTTTATTATGAGGGAAGTGGAGAAGGTGATGGCAGATAATATGGAGAAGGACGGTTTGATTCTGGATGGTTATCCGAGGGATATGGCACAAGTTGCGGAATTTGAAGCTAGGGTAAGTACAGAATTCATATTTTATGTAATGAAAACACAGAAAATCTTTTGATAAATATATAGTAAATTTTCTCAGACTTATCTTCTACTACTGGATTTAAATACATTATATATTGTGACTTTTAAATCCAAAAGTTAAAGATGCGCAATAAAATAAAAAAAAATCAACATGTTGCTAATATTGTGTAATGCATAGAGAAACTTAAATAGAACTGGGCAGACCATGTAGCGAGAATGCACGACTCACGATGGATGAGCAAAATTACAAATTGGAGGCCAAGAGCAGACAAACGTAGTAGAGGAATACCACCTCGTTAGGCTGACGATATCAGGAGTAGTTTAAGAGAGGCCTATGTCCAGCAGTGGACGTGATAAATGAAGGCTGGATGATGATGATTCGCAACCAAATCTCTGTTGTCTATCTAATTACGATTTTTTAGTTATTGAAAAATGTGATGTATCTAGTCTTAAGACTAAGACTAATCATTGGTTATATTTATAGATATGTTCTTGATCTTAATTATTTAGAAATTGGTTTCTACAGTTCTTACTACAGGTGTACAATTATTCAATAATTCATTCAATCGATACAGCGAAACTAACGAAGTTATACTTTACTACCAATAATTAGCCGTTACAGACATCACACCAAAAAACTTCCAGCAAGGCTGTAATAAGCAACTTCAGCTTGAAATCGACATATTTCATTCTGACGTCATAATTGTAACTCTCAAGTTGTTTCTAGAAGTAAAACGGGTACAAAGCGGTTATTCATAATTTGTCGAATGTCAGTATAAAATATTCAGAACTGTTTCAAGGGCATCGATGACAAACATTGGTCGAACGATAGGAAAATAATAAATAAGTATTTTTTCGGCTCGAAATAAATAGTACGTGGTTGTGTATACCTTACCGTAACAGATAAATCCATTATTACCGAAATAAACCATACTGTATCTATTGTATCGAGTAGAACTCCATCTTTGTCAATTTTCAGATTTTTTTGCTATGTTGATTCCAAAAGTGTGTTACTTCAGATTCGTACAGACAAAAGTACAGAGTATTTTTTTAATTAAAAGCATACTTATTTACTTTCTTATTAAGTTATTTAATACAAAGAACTGAGACAATGGAATAAGCTAGTAAAAAATAAGTACTTACAAAATTAGACAAAGGAAAACAAGAAACAAGTATTCAGGGAAGTTCGAAACGGATCTAATATTTAGTTATTTGTAATATGACTATTATTTTTTTCAAGTTAGCTTTTTAATTGCATCTTTAACTTTAAGAATCGATTGTGGTTACTCTTCCCTTTCATCTGTTCATTCTTCCTCTTTATTAAAAAACTTGACTAAACTATATAAACCATATAAAAAAGGTGGCCACGATACCCTAATGGCATTACAGAAATCCTTCCCCAATGATTGGATTATTGGAATACTTTGCACCATACAAAAAAAAGGAGACATTTTTGATGCTCTAACTACAGAGGAATTACGCTTCTAAATGCTGCGTATAAAATATTTTTCACAGTACTATGTATGTCACCGTATGGCACCGTAGAACAGATAGTAGGAAAATACCAGGCTGGTTTCAAAGATTGTAATTCTACAATTCATCAAATTCAAATCCTGAAACAAATGTTACAAAAAAAACTGGAATATGGCATAGATACTTATCACATATTTATAGACTACAAAGCAGCCTACGACTCTGTGAATGGAAAAGAAGTGTTCAAAGCAATGAAAGAGCTAGAAATACCAAACCGGTTAATTAAATAAAACTAACTTTTGATATATTTAATAAAATATACAAGGCAGGAAAAATACCAGTAGAGTGGCTCAAATCGAAGTTCGTACCATTGCCCAAAAAACCAGGAGCAAAAGTTTGTGAAGAATATAGGACAATAAGCCTAATGAGCCATCCGCTGAAGCTGTTTTTAAAGGTCATCCACAAAAGAATTTACCGGAAATGCGAGGAACTAATTGCGCCCAATCAGTTTGGATTTGTGAACGCCGTTGGTACGAGGGAAGCTTTATTTAGCGTGCAGATCTTGTTTCAGAAATGTAGAGATGTCAGCTGTAATGTTTTTACATGCCTGATTGACTACAAGAAGGCTTTCGATAGAGTCAGGCATGAACAAATGATGGAAGTGCTGAAGAGGACAGGGATTTATGGAAAAGACTTAAAAATTATAGTTAATCTGTATTGGAATCAATCAGCGGTACTCCGAATAGATGGAGAATATACAGAACAGGTCAAAATCTTAAGAGGAGTGAGACAGGGGTGCATAATTTCACCACTGATATTCAATCTGTACTCGGAGCACATTTTTGAAGAGGCCCTAAAAGATATTGATGAAGGCATCTCAATAAATGGAGTCAAGCTTAATAACCTGCGGTATGCAGATGATACAATAGTGTTTTCCAATACCATAGAAGGGCTGCAAAACTTAATGAACAAAATAACAGAAACAAGTAGAACCTATGGACTGGATATAAACATCAGCAAAACCAAGCTAATGATCATCAGCAAGCAAAACATAACTGGAGCAAATCTGTATGTGTACCAAATGAGAATTGAACGTGTCTCACAATACAATTACTTGGGAAATATAATCAATGAAACTTTGATAGTATACAAGGCAACTATCGAACACAGTGATTAATTTCTTTCGATCAATACAGAAACAGACAGAATTGTCATTCTGTCTCCGGCTTCTATATAACATGTAGCTTCTCCTTTTTAAAATTTTTAAAGTGTTTGTTTGTCTTTGTGTATTGTATTGTTATGTCCAAATTTACATGTATGACATTCTACTCATGTCAGATAGGCCACAACTGACGAAATGCCCCTGAAGATGATCTATTGATCGAAAGTACTTGGTCAAGATTTAATTAATCACTGTGTTCGATAGTTGCCTTGTATACTATCAAAGTTTAATTATTTGAACATTCAACCTTATATTGTATAATCAATGAGTCGTGGGACAATACCCAAGAGATTAAATGTCGCATCGGAAAGGCCAAAAGTGCATTCTTGGCTATGAGCTCTGTGTTCAAAAGCCATGACCTCACCATGAAAACAAAAATAAGGCTCCTTAAATGTTACGTATACTCAGTGCTTCTGTATGGAGTAGAAACGTGGACATTGAAGGCGGAAACTCTATCAAAACTTCAGGCGTTTGAATTATGGTTATACAGAAGAATCGTGAAGATACCATGGACAGACAAAGTCACCAATGAAGAAGTACTGCGGAGGATGAACACAACCGCGGATTTGGTCAACATTGTGAAGAGCCGTAAGCTGGAGTACTTGGGACATATTATGAGAAATCAAGACAGGTACGAGCTACTCCAATGCATTTTGCAGGGTAAAATTAAAGGAAAAAGAACCCCAGGACGAAGAAGAATATCCTGGCTTGCTAACCTGAGAGCATGGTATAGAAAGACCTCAACACAGCTATTTCGTATAGCAACCAACAAAATCATCATAGCCAGAATTATCGCCAACGTTCGGAATGGACAGGCACCCTAAGAAGAAGAAGAACTTTTGAAAAACTTTTAAAACAAATAACGGGCTGCGCCAGGAGACCCCTACATAGGATAATATAAGGATATAGGAAAGCCAAATGAACTGAAGACAAGCCCTGACTGTTTTTTAAGATTTATTACAATGGAAATGTCAGGTTTAAATATCGAAAACCTGTTTATATACATGGATGACATATAGTTTTTTGCAAAACCTAGAACAAGATAACCAAAACCTAATAATGGTTAGAAACACTAAGGAAATAAATCATAAATCTAAAATTAAATCCAAATAAATGTTATTTGATGAAGAAAGCGCTATTATACTTGAGAAAAAAAAATTTCGAATAAAGGTACAGCACCAAATACTGAGAAGATGATTGGAATGGAACAGTATTCTATGTAGATTAAGCCCAAATTGAGCAAAGGGATTCGTAGAAATCGCAAATTATTACAGAAAACACATTAATCGCTTTGCAGAAATAGCAGCACCACTAATCCGACTTTCGAGAAAAATGTAAAATATAAAAATGTTTTCTGCTTCACCCTTAAAATGTACTTTCCAGATGTTTTAGAGAAAAACAATTTTATTTTATTCACTGATGGGTCAGACATTGTGTTAGGAGCAACTTTGTCAAACCACCGCACCGTCCATTAGTGTACACATTTAAATAATAACATAAAGGGAGCTGAAAACAGTACAGCAGATGTGCTATCACGAATAGAAGTTATATCACAAGAGCCCACATACAGTCGATCCGCCGGATCTTTGCACATCGTCATTATTCTTATTATAGGAAATAAATCAAAACATATGAGTCAAACGTATGTCGGCTATAAGAATTATTATAAAAATTAGAAAATGGCTAATATTACAATTAAATAGAATGAAATTAAATAGAATGTCTTTAAATAGAATGAAAAACAATAAAGCAGCTGGTGATGATCAAATCGTTATTGAGGCAGTTAAAGTAGGAGGAAAGACAGTATTGAAAGCATTGACGCAATTATATAACTTATGCCTTTCAAACGAGGTTACACCATCTCAGTGGAATAAAGCTGTTATAGTAGTTATGCACAAAAAGGGAGATATAACAGAGCTAAAGAACTATAGACCTATTAGCTTGTTATCTCACGTTTATAAGTTGTTTATGAAGATAATAACTAATAGGTTGACATCAAAACTAGACTTCTATCAACCTTGCGAGCAAGCAGGATTTAGAGCTGGATACGGAACAAATGATCATTTGCAAACCATTAAGTCGTTGATTGAAAAAACCATTGAATATAATAGACCCCTGATACTTGTCTTTGTCGACTTTGAAAAAGCATTTGATACGGTCAATCAAAGTGAAATGCTCCAAGCTCTAACACAATGTAGAATAGATCACCGATACATATCTCTCATCAGATACATTTATCAACATGCTACAGCCTGTGTAAGACTTAATGAAGATACTGGGACTTTCCGTATTGAAAGAGGCGTTCAGCAAGGAGACAACATGTCTCCTAAATTATTTACAACTTTGCTAGAATACGCTTGTAAAACAATAGATTCGAACGAAAAGGGCATCAATGTAGATGGAAAATTTTTAAATAACCTTAAATTTGCAGATGATATCGTTCTTATTGCAGACAGCTTTGATCAGGCACAGATAATGCTCCAAGAACTCCATACTGCCACAAAAAGAGTTGGTCTTAAAATAAATTTTTCAAAAACACAATTTATGACAAATTTAGTCCACAACAAAAACATCTCAGTAGAAGATGTTTTTGTGATAGAGATATAAGATAGAGCCAGTTGACTCCTATAAATACTTAGACCATGAGATCAGAATAAGTCGAGACAACCAAACAATCGAGCTGAAAAGAAGAATAAACCTCGCTTGGGCTGTATTTGGAAGGATGAAGGATATTTTTAGGTCTATGATTCCAATGTGTCTGAAAAGAAAAGTATTTTATCAATGTATTTTTCCAGTGATAACCTACGGCGCAGAAACCCTAACGCTCACAAGAACAACAGTGAGTAAACTACAAGTTGCGGAAAGAGCAAGGGAGAGAATTATGTTAGGGATTTCTCTACGTGATAGAATACCCAATGCTACTATACGCAAAAGATCAGGAGTAGCAGACGTTATTGAAAGTATAACAACACTAAAATGGAACTGGGCAGGTCATGTAGCAAGATCAGTTAATGACCGGTGGACAAAAAGAATTTTGGAATGGAGACCCCGAATACAAGCTTACAGAAATAGAGGTCGACCCCAAACGAGATGGACAGATGACATAAAAAGAGTGACTACAAATTGGATTCAGATGGCGCAAAATCGGACTGGAAGGAAGTGGAAAAGCATGCGAGAGGCCTATGTTCAGCAGTGGGCGTTAGAGGCTAGTTGATGATGAATAATACAATTGACGTTTTTATACTTCTTTTTTATTTCATTTATTGCATTTGGAAAACTGGGTACGTATACATTTATGAACGTGATTTTCCAATTTTTGGAAACCTATAGGTTGTCCAATAATATCTACAGTAAATAAATGTATGGACACAAACATATTGTTGTATGCCAGAGCACAGACTAAGAAACAGGAAGAAATAGTTAATTTAAAGGAACCGAAGGACTGGCCAACCGAATGTTTTCGAAATGTTGAAATTCCCTGAGAATACAGTACAAATGAAAGTAGTAGGTACGGATGAATTTAAAGTACTGAAGGTAGAAGGTACTGACGAAGAAGAAGATAATATCTGAAAGAATAAGAAACTGGATAGTGGAAATAAATGACAGACACAATATATTTATTTAGTAAGCGACGACTGGTTTCGACCACTACAGTGTTCTGGTCATCAGGTCACCGAAAAGTACAATCTTTATAAAGCTTAAAAAATTACATATTGTAATACTACTTCTTCTTCTTCTTCAAGTGCCCTGTCCGTTGCGAACGTTGGCTATTAACATGGCAATTTTGATCTTGTTTGCGGTGCTTCTGAATAGTTCGACCGATGTGAGCCCGAACCACTTCCGCAGATTTTGGAGCCACGAGTGTCTTCTCCTGCCTGGCCCTCGCTTACTGTCTATTTTTTCCCTGGACAATCAATTGTAGCAGACGGTACTTATCGTGTCTCAATATGTGGCCTAGATATTCAAGCTTTCTTTGTTTAATTGTATTCACGATTTCTTTCCGCTTTCGATTCTTTGGAGTACCTCTATGTTGGTGACATGTTCGGTCCAGGATATACGAAGAATGCGTCGGTACACCCACATTTCGAATGCTTCTAGTTTTCTCGTTAGCGTCTCCGTCAGCGTCCAGGCCTCCACGCCATACAGCAAGATCGGAAAAATGTAGCATTTAACTATACGTAGTTTTAGGGAAGAGACAAATCCTTGCTTATGAGGAGCTTTTTCATATTGCTAAATGCTGCTCTAGCTCGTTCTATTCTCGCCTTAATTTCTATGGTCTGTTCCCATTTTGCATTTACGTTGGTGCCAAGGTACATATAAGATTCTACATGGTCAATTATTATGTTACTTATCCGTAATTGTCGAGCAGGTTGTTGCTTTTTGCTTATCAGCATCCACTTTGTCTTTTTGAAGTTGAGCCTCAGGCCGTATTCCTCACTAACTGAATAAAGTCTTTCCATTACTTGTTGTAATTCGTCTATGGTACTGGCAAGGATCACCGTGTCGTCGGCGTATCTTATACTGTTCGTTAACTCGCCGTTTATTTTAATGCCCTCATTTGCATTTTCCATACATTTGTTAAATATTTCCTCGGAATACATATTGAATAGGAGTGGGGATAATATACACCCCTGACGGACACCTCTTTTGATCTGCACGCTTTCAGTGAGTTCGTTGCCAATTTTTGCTCTTGCTGTTTGACCCCAGTATAGGTTTGCCACAATTCGAATGTTCTTGTCGTCAATACCTGTCTTTCGCAGAATACCTATCAATTGTTCATGATTGACATTGTCAAATGCTTTTCTAAAATCTACAAAGCACAGATACACGTCTTTATCAACGTCTCTACACCGTTGTATAAGCACCTGGAGAGTGAAAATTGCTTCTCTAGTTCCAAGTGCTTTCCGAAAACCAAACTGCGATCTATCAATATTTGACTCACATTTATCATATATTCTTCTGTGAATGATCTTAGTGAACGCTTTAGTGACATGATTGATCAAGCTTATAAGCCGGTAGTCATCACAAATCTGGGCATTTGGTTTCTTCGGGATTGTAATAGATGTTGACTGTAGCCAGTTCTCCGGGATTTTACCGCTATTATATATGTTGTTAAAAAGTACAACTAGATTATCAAGGAACTGTTTGTTGTACATTGTCCGGACCTGCTGACTTATTGTTTTTTAGTGCTGCAATGGCATCTTCTATCTCCGATTTAAGAATTGAAGGTCCTGTTTGTCCTTCTCCATATATGTGATCATCAGTCCTGTTAGATGCAAATAATTTTCCTATGTAATACTACTAATTTAACCAAACCTTACATCAGGTATGGTACAAAATACTTTGTGTGTTTACAGCTTAATACACATCGAAAAGTGGGTTCCTGATATGTTTGATAACTAAACATGTTTAATTCTCCCTTAGGTACTTAACATTTAGAAGAAGCTTATTTACCACTGCTCTTACTGTACATGGCGATCCTGCGAAACCATGTTACATTACATTGTTACATGTTTTAGACTATTTTATTTTCTTATTGTGTCTTAAACACTTATTGTGTTTCGAAGAAATAATACAATCAGGTATATATGAGTTACGTTATGTAATATTTATTTTAGACCCTTGTTTGAGAGTGACTAACCATCTAAAAGAAGAAAGGTTTATTTCAAGGTCTGCTTTAATGACGGGTTTTATGATGGCTCGGTATAAAACGAACAATTATCTTTAATTATTAATTATATAATGTTATATTTGTTCTAGTACAAACAAAAACCGTCAGTTATTCTACTAGATTGCTCAAAACTACAATTAGGAAGAGGACGCTTGGACGATAGCGTGACCGCATTTAGAAGGAGGTTAGAAATTTTTCGCCAATCCTCTTTGCCAATGTTGAGAGCTATGGATAGCATAGGAAGACTAACAATCGTAAGTTTACTATAAATAGATGAAAAAATAATATAAATCTAGATAATATAAAACTAAAGACTTTTTATTCTCTGTTATAACTTTTATCTGTTGAACCCTTAGGATATAAAACCACAGAAAGGAGTGTTTGCTGTTCAAAGTGTAAATTAGGATGGAAGAGTGGTCTTTTTTTTGAGAGTAGCGTTAACTTCAGCCTAATAACACGTAAGAAAGTATACATCCGTAACACGATGCCTAAATATACTTCATCTTAAAATACTTGACCTAAAACAGATCTTCTAAAGGACATTTGACCTAACGCCATTTGTCTTAGATCACCTAAGTTAAAATAAGCTTATTTAATTTAACCTAAAATAAGCTTTTTTACATCTTTACATCTTTGTAGAGGAGAAGGAAAATCTGCTAATAGATACCCGTGACCTATGTAGTGTTCGGTTCATAATTCCATAGAAGATACGTGATAAGAAGTAATGCCAAAGGAGCGAAACATTTCATTTTATCGCCGCCCGATTAGCTGGCGTCTAACTAAAAACTTACCCTCTGTTAGTCAAGGCGTAAGTATGGAACCTTCAGGTAAGGCATAACGTCTCCCCTATTGACTTTGTATGTCCATTCCACCCCTGACACAATCTCTGGGGAAATCGATGGTACGCGAACGACAGCTCAAACTTTAAGCTGGCCTCGCGAGGTTAGGTTTGGTTAGTAACCCGGCCCTAAAGCGAAGTTAGCTCTCTTACATCCTCTCTTTCTCACATGGTCATCTCAGCCGAAGACAGTCCTAACTAGTGGCACCTAAGTATTACTCGTTTCTGTCAGATACTTAAAATATCGTTACGTATTTCTTTCCCTCCCGCGCATTTAAACTTAGTAATTTTCTGATTACTTTGTGGATCCTTATCCACCACTGCTCATCTCACATCATTCTCCCACTGACTCAAACACTCACTGCACTTGGCCCAACTCTCTAATTCCAATATGGTGTCTGCGAGATCACAATAAATCCAAGCCTCCGGACTACCTCCCAATTACCTAGTCGATTCGTGTATATAGCAATCTAGGTTACAGCTTCCTAAAGCAGAAAAAAAGGCAACTTAAATAATATTTTGCTGGCTTTAATTTAGCCAAGAGCGTGAGCCCCGACATTTTTTAGGGGTTCAAAAATGTACTGCCAGCAGGAAGTTCATGCGATTCAGAAGCCACACAGGCTCTAACTGACCTAGATGAATAACCGTCTCATGCAGTATAGATCTAGCCTGACGGTTTTTTAAGATATTAGGGAATCTACCGCAGCAAACAGTTCATCAATCTGCACATTTCTTCTGTGTTCCCTACAGCTGTTATTAGTTTATGAAATCTAGCTATGTGTTTCACTCACGTTGGAAATTTTGAACTGGTAAGTTATCATGCCTGGAGCTGAATTATTTTTCATTGCTTTAATGGCATCCACTATTTCCTTTAGTGTGAGTAATCAATGGTTTTGGTTTTCAGATTTTCATATAATTGTTGGTTTACACATTATGTTACTTAATGGTCGAAAGTCCAGTAAATACCATTTTATTTTGTTTTTTCTATAAACACCACTTTCAAATTTTTACTGCCAAGTGGTAAACCAAGTGGTAAACTATTTGGTTGACCACTTAGTAGAACAGTGTATCTCTTTGTGTCTCTAGTCCCATTACCTAGCCATTGTTTCTTTGGATTATGGTTATTTTTATTTTATATCTAGGTAGCTTATTTAGAAAGTTACATTGGGCCATAGGTGTATAAGGATTCTAACATTTCATAATGCAATCTCGAATTGCATATTTCGTTGCCCAAGTTATCGGTGTTCAATCCATCTTATTCTCTGAGGCTCATCTGTTGGTTTCGTAACTCTAGTATTATTCCAAGGATGATTGACTGGACCATCGCCCAGCCTCTTTTTTGGGAGGACCATTCTCATGCTCTCGTTAGCTCTGACCCTGTTCTCGGGATTGATTACCAAGGTCTTCTAAGTGATTATTGAGGTTACTAAGGTTCCTTACTTAAAGGTAACAGTCGAAATTGAGTAGAAGAGACTTGCTGATGCCAACAAGAGGCAGCTTAATACATTGCATATTACTACCCCATTTAAATATAGCTTGGATCACGGCAAAATCTAGTAAGTCTAATATCCTTTTGGGATCAGTTGATCAGTAAGTAGGTTTTCCTGTCGATAAATAGTGAAGAATATTCGAATGTGTAATGTTTACCAGATCTCTACGTTTGATAGTTGTTAGTTAAGATTCTCAGATAATGTATTTGATATTCAAGTCTTTAGCGAAAAAGTAGTATGAAATTATTCATATTCTTTAAAAGAAATTTAATGACTTGGTGTACTGTAGATTGCAGAAACAACTATGTTTCCTGATTGTGTTGTTTTTTTTGTAAAGATTCTAAATAAGATTTCATAACATAGTACTTCAAAATACTATTTTTTATACCAGTTTTTTAATTTGGTTTGTAAAAATTCTTTTATCAATTGTATTTGACTGAAATAAATATATTTGTAGGTTGATGGCGATACAGATACTCCCTCAGTACAAGCAGACTTTAGAAACGTCGTCAAAGAACACATCGAGTACCTGAAATCCCAGTCTCAAGAAACAGCTATGGCTGCCCAAAACGGCTATGCAAATGGACATATACCCAACGGCCACGCCATATCCAACGGTCATATCCCGCAAGACACTCAAGTTCAAGACCTCGAAGACGAACCCATAGACACTATCAGTAAACAAGTGAGTAATGGTGTAAACCATATGGCAAATGGCAGTGTAAAGACACATGCGAATGGTTTTATTAGTAACGGGTTGCCTGCCTACAACCATGCACACGAAATAGAAGGACATATTTAAATAATATGTAGCAATATTGTACAATATAAATAGATCAGTATTTATAAAAAGTTGTATTAAAATAAAAGTGGATGTTTGTTGAATCAACATAAATTCGAAACATACTACTTAAACCATATCTTTTAGCATAATTTTAAGAAACATAAATAACATCTTAATAGCAAGCCTAAAACCCTAACTATCCCTTTATTCTCCGTGCGTTAGTTTAATAATTTCTGGACATATCTCTTCATTATCACTTCTACTGGTCTTTATCCAGTATTGTTATGATTCATCCATCTTCTTCCTGTCATTTCTGCCAAGATAATAATTCTTATTCGGTCATTTCTCATTTCTTCAAATGATGTGTCTAATGTTTAATGATATTAGGTTACCTTTGGTTTTACCCAAATTCCTCTAAGCTTCTTCTGCTTCTAGTGCCGTGCACCTATATTGCGTTGGTGTCAGCGTTATTTATGCCTGTCCAGTTCGTTATGTTACGTTGCCACGACATTTGTTTGCGACCTACTCCTCTCTTGCCTTCAATCTTTCCATGGTTTATTAGTTGAATGATTGTGTATTTTTTCTTCTCAGAATATGGCCGAGGTGTTCAATTTTTCCTTTGAGCTACGATACTCCAAAGGAGTGGCTTTAAGCGAATTTATGTTGCCATCCACTGATAGAAATATTTTCTTGGTGTGATTATGGATTCATTATTTTTCTTAGGATGAATAAGTAGATTCGAAGAGATTTTGGGCTGTAAAATCTATCATCCGATTAGTTTAAATGCAAAACTTCTTATAGGATGACTTCTTCTTATTGCGCCATCTCCGTTCGAAGATTGGTAATCTAAATGGCAATTGCAGCTTTGAAAACTGCTGTACGAAGATTTATGTAGATGGGCGATCAAACCATCTCCTCAGGTCTTTCAGCCACGAGTTCTATTCTCTTATAACTGAACTTTACTTTCCAATATAATTTTAAATAATTCATATCTTTCACCTCCTAACCCATGACCCAAGTATTGTATTTTTTTCCCTTTGATTAAGCTGAAAAATTCTTATTATTTACTCATGTGCCGAAGTACTTAGCCATTGGAAACTTTTTGTATCCATAGAACTTTCAGCATCAAATGCACTTATTCTTTTTTCTGTTTCAGAGTCCATTGTCTAACTTTCACAGCCATATAGCAAAACACAGAAAACGTAATATCTGATCATAATTCTGAGCTCTAGACTAAGGTCTGATCTTGTAAAAAAAGTTTTTATGTTCATGAGTGTTTTCCTTACTTGTTCGATTTTTGTGGATTTCCATTTTTATCTTTCGTGTTAACTATTTGGTCGTCAGCCAAGAAAACTGTAAAAAGCTGCTGTTTTTCCACTGTTATACCCATGCTTTGGTATTTTCTCGCCAATTTCTATTAAGGGGATTTCTAGATAAATCTTAACTAAAGTGGATGATAAACTACATCCTTGTCTCAAACCTTTAGTTTATTTAAACGGAGTGGTAATTTCTGTTACTCTTTTAATTTTCGCAGAGTTTTTCTCATAATATTTCTAAGTTGCCTTAAGAACTGGATTTGCGTTAAAATTTATTATATCCTTCCAGAATTGTGATATTGGCTATCATTTTGTATCTACATTTTTAAAGTCTATTAAGACCATATAAGTTTCTCTATTTTTCTGTTCTCCTTTTTCTACGGCAATTTTTAATATAAATAAATTTTATCTATGGTGAATCGGGATAGTCCAGCTCTAAATCCTGCTCACTTAGTTTTCAGGAATAGAGTACACGTGTGCATTCGTCGTCTAATCTGTCGTTAGACATGTTTGCTTAAACAATGTTTTTTTTTAATTTTCATTCTATTGGCTCTATTTATATTTCTATGGTGCCTTTCCACAAAAGGTATGTATATCTTTTCTATTACTAAGTGGTTATCTAATCCAAAACCTTCTGTGTTTACCTTTAGATCTTGAACTCCGAGTTTTTGTCTCTGACGACTGCGGTATCAGTGTTGATACCAGATAAGGTTATGTATGTCTTAATCTGTAGAAAATCATTTAAAAACTTTCAGCAATCTGTTGTATATAGTATATATTTATAAGGTTTTTGTCACCGTTGTTCACTGTTTCTTCGTCATACATTATCGTCTACGATATATTATTTAGTGAATATTCACTTAGTTTAGTTTCATTTAAAACTTTTATAAGGTCTTCTTCAAAATTTTTCTTTCATGTACAGAATAATCATTGCTTATAGAGTATATACCCAAAATCACATATTCCTCTTAATAAAATCGCGACTTTAATAAATCACTCCTTGTAATATTCATAAGAATTGATATAGTTTTAATATTGTTAGTGTATAATGATTGATATTCGTGCCACTGTCAGCACATCTTTCTTATTTCCGAGAAAAAATGTTTATAGTTCTATTTTTTAGTGGCTGGCGTCTAAATTCTGATTTCTGAATTCTTGTGTGATTTTCTGCTGTTTATTTCTGATTCCTTTTGTGTTCAGAATTCCGAAATCCATAGTTCATTTTCATTGCTGTTTTCGCCTACTGTAAGTGCTACTAATATCGAAGGTTTGATATCGAACGCTAATTTTGTATTTTAGCACTTTCAGGTTTTTACAAATGTATGATCGCTGGCCCTACGATTGGTTCCTTATCCTCGAAGGGCCGAATGTTTTTATATTTTGTAATATTTTGGAATTCTTTTGTTAAAAAAGACCTGAAATAAATCATAGAAGTAAATGTTGTTTATGTATATGTAACGAAGTAAAAATATTTGTAAAGTGTCAAAAAATGGCTAAATTATATTAATGTTTCCAATATGTTTCCAATATGTTCCGAAAGAAAGTTCCAGAAAATCAAATCCAAATAAAATATTGTCGATATAAGACAAAAGGTCATCGTCTTCTTTTTTAATTTCTCTTAAATTTTTTGTAATTTTTTAAGCGCCCAGTTTTAAAGTTTAAATATATCATTAAAAAAAGGGAAAAGTAATGAAATAATATTAAGGCGGGCTCTCTAATTGATATAACAAGATTCTTTTAAAATAATTAAAAATAATTCCTTTCATCCACTTTTATTACATTTATATTATTCTTGTAAATATATAAATACTTTTACTAGATTCTTAATATAATTAATTATAGTTTTCGTTTGAAGATTTTTAAGATTTTATATACCACGTAGATTATCTTGTATCTATAGTAAATTAGAAGTGGTTATCACACTCTTACTTTAAAACATACTCTGAAAATATTGTGATAGATTGTTGAATATATAATTTTTATAGACTTTACAATAACTAAACTTTAAGTATTCGAAGGAATGAGGAAGTGCCTTAGGATTGTCGTTTAGGAGATAAGGAAATTTTCTGAATTTTTTGTATTACTCAATATTATTTATGTTTAATTATATTATGATTAAAAATATTCTCGGCATTTGATAATTCAGATCTAACACAAATTTCAAAAATGATGTTAATAAAAATGCCCTATATGAAACAGCTCAGTACCTAATTTCTCTTAATTTGACTAAGCTTTTCAAATTATCTTCTATTTATTTATAAAAACTTTTGAAAATTTCGACACAGTAAAAAAACAAAATTCTAGATAAATTTACAACAAATATTGAGATAACAATAGATAAATCCATATATGCTCTCCTTCAAGCCATCTTGCAAGGAAAAATATTTGGAAAGCGAGGTCCAGGAAGAAGAAGAACATCTTGGTTAAAGAACCTCAGAATCTGGTTCAATACATCTGTGCAGCTTTTCCGCGCTGCTGCACATAAGATAAAGATTACCATGATGATCGCCAACATTCGTAACGGATAGGCACATCTAGAAGAAGAAGAAGATTGAGATAACAATTTATCCACTGCATTATAAACAATGCAGTCGCATGAGAGGGATGGTAATTTACAGCTATACCATCATCATCTTTGGCTCGACAATCCTCTGTGGATCTTGGCCTGCTCTAACATTCGTCCCATTCTGTTCGGTTTCTGGCAACATGTTGCCGTCTTCTGATCTCTAGTATTCCTAAGTCAGTCTCAACTCTATCTAACCACCTAATTCACGGCCGGCCTTTGCTTCTTTTTCATACAGATGTTCCTGTGGTTAGCTTTTTAGCAATCGTATTTTCTGGCATTCGTATTATGTGTCCAGCCCATCTAAGTCGCTGTGTTTTAATGAACGTTATGACATCTGGCTCATCAAAGAGCTGATACAATACATAATTATATCTTCTGCGCCACTGCCCTTGGTCGTTTATAGCTCCAAATATTTTGCGGAGTATTTTACGCTCAAATATTCCCAAAAGTCTTTCATTTTTCTACGGTAGAGTCCATGTTTCTGCTCGGTATGTGAGGACCGGCCTCAGCAATGTTTTGTATATAATAATTTTAGTTCTTCTTTGAATGTTTCTTAAGTGGAAATGCTTTTGGAGTATATAGTATGCCCTATTTGTAAGATTTATTCGTCTTTTAATTTCTTCGCTTGTTTTATTGGTAGCAGTCAATAGTGACCCAAGGTATGTGAAGTTGTCAACACGTCCAAAGGTATGAATTCCAAAGACTGTTTCTCGTTCCTCAGTTGCTATCGGATCCTTTGTAACCAACATGTACTTGGTTTTGTCTTCGTTGATGACTAAACCGACCTGTTTCGCCGCTGTTTCCAATTCTGGGAGATATTGCTCAACATCTCGCTTGCTACGTCCTATTATGTCTATGTCATTAGCATATGCTAAGACTTGTATCGATTTATTGTAAATAGTACCACCATCCCTAATTCGTGTATCTCGGACTGCCTTTTCTTTACAGATATACATATATTAAAAATATGCACATATTGCGAATCTTTCAATATACGTTCTGTAGAGTATTGAGTCGACGGAAAGCTAATGCGAAAATTGTTACTTAGGCGAAAAACTCATCTAAACAACAAGATTAAACAATGGTGAAATTATTAATTGATATAAGGTTGGATGCTCGAATAAATGAACTATGAA